GAAGGGTAAGAGAAAAAGGAGTCAAGGTTTTATACCTGAGTATCGAGAAGGATAAAGTTGCATTTAGTGAGAGGGAGAAGACTCAGAGGAACAGGGTTAGATGGTTGGAGGTGGGGACATAACGCAAGTGTTCAGCTTTTGACATGATCAGTCCAATGGCATTTAGACATCCAGGATGTCTAGTATGCAGTTGGCTATTCAAGTCTGGAGTTCAGGAGAGAGATCTGGGGATACAAAGCTTAGAGTCATCAGCGTATTTAAACCCATGGGACTGGATGAAGTTGCCCTGGCGGTGAGGATAGATGGAGAAGAGGAGAGCTCAAAGAACTGAGTGCTGGGCTTCCAACATGAGAGGACAAGGGCATCCGGAGGAAGCAGCAGAGGTGAGGTGAGAATGCAAACCAAGGGAGTGGTGTCCTGAAAGCCCAGGGATGGAAGTGTTTCCAGAACAGTGTTGGATGGTCAGATGCTTCTGGACGTCAGTAATAATTGCCCATGGATACATGACATGGCCGTGGTTACTGACCCTGACAGAGCAGTGTGGGCGGAGTGGTAGGGAGCACCCATAGGAAGAAATGGGAGAGGAGTTGGAGCCAGTGAGTGTGCGCAACTCCTTCATGGAGTTGGCTCTAACGGGAGAGAGAAGGCGACAGCTGGAGGGAAATGTGGAGTCAAGGGAGGGCTTTGTAAGATGTTTGATGTGTTAATCTGCTGTCGGATTAAAGAGAGACAAAGTGATGCTCCAGAGATGAAAGGGACACTTATTGCAGTGAAGACCTTAAGAAGGAAAAAGAAGACAGAATCTGGTGCCTCTGAAGTATAGGAAGCTCAAACGTGGCACCAGGAGGAAAGGCAGACGACTTAGGTAAAGGTAGATTGGATGATAAGGAATCACCAGGAACTGTAACAGAGCCGTGTGGGAGAGATCTCTGCGATGGCCAGTGGCTAGAACCTGGGAGGACTGACCTGGGGTTCTGGGTGGTGCTCTAAGTAAGTAAACAAGTAGGGCTAGTTGGTGGAATAGTTTGCCATGAGCTGCAAAGCTGGGGATTTTTAGGGGCGATTGAGGGACAGTGATCCGAACGAAAGTGGCATTTAGGAGCAAGGAGGACCTCTCTTTAGACCAAGGAGAAGGATGTGTGTGGGAAATAGTCACCACTTGGGGGAGGGGCGCAAAGGAAATAGTACTTTCAAAGAAGTGCCCAGCTGTAGTTGGAACAAGAAGGTTGGGGAATGTTTGGAGGTTGAAGATGTAGAGGTTTTGCTGATGAGTAACAGGGCCCATAGAAGGTCTGGGAGGAATGGGAGTCGGGGTCATATTAGGTGACAGGAGTCTAGTAGGTGAGAGATGACCTGACAGTCCTGAGCTGCCCATGACTAAGGTGAGCAGGAGTAATGGGCCCAATGGAGATAGCCCAGCTGGTTTTCAAGGCAGTTTGTGGGTGTGAGGCCAAGTGTGGAGAGGGACAGGTAGGTGGGTCTGGAGCCCCCTCTACTATGGAAGGGGCTGAGGAAGGGTGGACTTACTGGGATGGTGGGAAGTCGGCAAGCTGTTGGCAGAGGACCTGAGCGCATGCAGTAGGAGATGGTGCTGGAGGCGGCAGTAGCATCTCTGCTTCTCAGCCTGGGCTATTGTCAGAGTCAGGGAGCCCAGGACGAAGGGTGTTCTGTACCCCAGAAGGATGTTCAAAGGAGGACCCTACAGTAGCCCAAGGCCAGAAATCTGGCTCAATTGAAGGTCAAGGACCTAGTTCCTGACATCCTTGTTGACTTGGGTGGGGAGGAGGAGAGATTGTAAAGTGTATCGTACTTTTCCATCTTAGATTGTACCTGTTCCTCAGGACAGCCCTTTGCAGAGATTACTGAGGCCCAGAGAGGGCAAGTGATTTGACCAACTTCACACAACTAGAAAAGTGGCTGTTTGGGCTCTAGGTCTTTTGTTCTTCCTAGGCCACCATACTTCTGCCCCCAACCCTCCTTGCACTCTTTCCTTTGGATCAGGAGGAGGCTTGTTAGCTGAGTCCAGACCCTGCTGCTGAGGCAAAAACATTCCAGTTGTCCCTTCTACTACATGTCTTCTTGCTCCATAGCCCTCATTGTAAAGCTCTGAATTTTCTCTCTCTTCCTCCCTTCTCTCCCCCCCTCCTCCATGCTGCAGTCCATGCTGTGGAGAGTAAGTGGCCCTGACCCTGGGGAAGCCAAGCCCCCACGTCTGGGGTAGTCTCCCCACCCACGATCGGGGGGAGGTTTGGATGGGCCTGGGATTGGGGCCTTGTCTGGCCTGGCTGCTGGGTGACTATAAAATGCACTGGGACATATTTTTGAGTTGGGGTTCCTTGCAGCAGGAGAAATCAGGGTCAGAGGGCAGGAAGAACTTATTCTGGAACTTATGGTTCAGGGTACCATAGGATTTCCTTCGGGGAGCTCTGAGGGTAGGGGCAGAGGCATCAGGGAAAGAGCTTGGGTAGCATTCTCAGGTCCCACCTCACTTTGGGATTCAGTGATTGGCCATCGGCTCTAGTTAATGAGAGACCAGAGTTGGTGGTGTTTGTTTCTTGAGGGCTCCCTACATATATCAGGGAAGAGCTGGGATCTGTGTTCTTAGGACCCGCAAGGAGGGCATGGCCTCTCCCATAGGCCCAAGGCAGGCCCTTTCTGGCTGCCCTTAAGCAAGGCCAGGCTGGGAGGGAAGGGGGAGTGAGGGGTCAAAGAAGAGCTGGGGGGGTCACACTCCAGAGGGAAGAGCGAGGAGGCCTGAGCGAGGACTCAGGGAGCCAGGTGGCCAGTCCTGCTCCACCAGGTGACACTTTCCCCCTTCTCTTCTAGTCCACGACTTGCAGAGCTTCGGCCTTGACAACGTATGTACCAGGTGGAAATAATGGAGGGCGGATGGGGTGGGGTCTGCTGGGGCCTTTAGTGCTCTGAGTCCCAGGTGTTGCTTACAGATCAACATGACCCACTACATCCGGCACCTGTCATTTGGGGAGGACTATCCAGGCATTGTGAACCCCCTGGACCGCACCAACGTCACCGCACTTCAAGGTACCCGCCTGGAAGGTAACCCCCAGCTCCCAAAGCCCTGCCCGACACCCATGCCCAGTGCTCTCTTCTCCCTGCAGCCTCCATGATGTTCCAGTACTTTGTGAAGGTGGTGCCCACAGTGTACATGAAGCTAGATGGGCAGGTAAGTCTGCAGGAGCTCAGATAGCAGAGGCCCTCTCGGTGTCAAGCACTGGAGTCCCTTCAGCCTGGGAAGTGAAGTGCTGCTCTTATTCCCATATGATGGGCGACAAGCCAAGGCTCAGAGAGTGTAGGCGATGTGCCCACCAAGGCCCGGGCTGTCAGATCTGAAAGGACTTGCTCTTTTTACTTGCTCAGGCTGCATCCATCTGTTCCTGCAGTGCCCACTGTCTGCCTCACTGTACTCCATGGTCTGCCCTGGGCTGGGGGCTAACCTTTCCTGGGCCCCCTGCTTCCCTTTCTGCTGTGGCCTGTGGAACAGCAGCTCGGCAGACTGGTAGAATGCATGGGACTGAGTTTGCAGAGGAGTCAGGTCCAGCCTTGCCAGGTGCTCATGGTGCGTCCTTGAAGAGTTGCTTCTCATCCATGGACACCCGTTATGAGAATCCACCAAATGTAGCTGGGATTGGTAAACTCTAAAGAGCTGGTGACCAGCGGAGAAGCTGGGATTGTTAAGCTGGAAGAGGGCATCTAGGTGGTCCCCAGGCCTTGCCATATTCGTTACCAACATGGCACCTTGTTTTCTCTTCCACAACACTCAAGGTGCTACAGCACACAGGGCAGGAACCGGGGTAGGGTGGAGGGGGTTGGGAGTCAGGTTGTAGACCTGGCCCTGGTCCAGCTCCCCTCCCATTCCAGGTGCTGAGGACAAATCAGTTCTCTGTGACCAGACATGAGAAGGTCGCCAATGGGCTGCTGGGCGACCAGGGTCTTCCCGGAGTCTTCGTGCTCTACGAGCTCTCGCCCATGATGGTGAAGCTGACAGAGAAGCACAGGTGAGGGTGGGGAAAGGGAGGGTACTGGGCCTGGTGGCAGTAGGGGTGCCTGCTGATCCCCCCACTCCTCTGCCAGGTCCTTCACGCACTTCCTCACGGGCGTGTGTGCTATCATCGGGGGCATGTTCACAGGTTAGTAGCTCTAGGGTGTCTGTTTGGTGTTGGGGTGTGGTGGGGAGTGTGAAGTCTGGGTTCCCCACAGATTTTGGTTGGGGAAGAAGGGGCACCTCAAGGCCAAGGGGAGATGCTGACCTAGTGAGTAAGGCTCTGGTGGTCAAGCCAAGGGCCCAACTGGGCCAGTTCCAGTTCTGTCTCTCTCCCCAGTGGCTGGACTCATCGATTCACTCATCTACCACTCAGCACGAGCCATCCAGAAGAAAATTGATCTAGGGAAGACAACATAGTTGTCCTCTTCCCCCTTGCTGTCCCCTCTTTCTCCTGTTCTCTGGTTTTGTGGTCATTTTCCCAGGCCCCCCTACTTCCTATTCCCTTCCCGGCGAGTCCTGCTCAGCCCCAGGTTGATAAATCTATTGGTTGTGATAGTACTCACTGGTCTCTGTGTGGTTCTTGGGTCTGGTCAGAACCTGGGGACAACCCCTCATCACAGCCACTTGTTGAGGGCAATCAGGACTGACAGATCAGGCCAGATGCCCTCTGGGAGCTCCATGTGGACATTTCCTGGTGTATAGGGCTGTGTTCAAACTAGACTAATGCTGGCCACACAGCCCTCTCCTCAGTCTCCTCCACTGTGCTCTTTGGGCCTTCTGATTTCAGCCTCAGGGCTGAGACGGACCTTTGTAGGATGAGTTTCTTGGAGCCACCACGGCTCCCAAGTTGATGAGTCCAGTGTTAGTAATAGAGCCCTGGAGCAGTGACACCTGAAGCTGGGGCCCCTGCCACTCTGGGTTCAGTCACCTGGATCTGTGACCCTGCTCTGTGCCAGCCCTTGCTGGCTCTTGGTGCCGAGAGGTGTCCAGCCAGATCCTGTGCAGTCTCCTAGGTGGGGGCAGAACTGAAGAACAGGAAAGGAAGGTAGCAGTAGTCATTCTGCAGCAGAGCTAGCATCAGATCCGAGCTCTGGCCTTAGTGAGGGCTTCCCATTAGAGCTTCCCAATGTAGAACCAGGCCCTGAGAACTCACCACTCCCAGAAACCTGAAGCTGGTCAGTTCATCCCGTCATGTCTCGGGGTTTCAGTATAAGACAGTAGAGGGGGAGAAGCGAAGAGAGGACAGAAAGCAAACTAGGGTGGTGATAGCAAAACCCCTGGAGGCAGACAGACCTGAGCTCCAGCTCTGATGTGATCAATTACAATCTGAGATGTTGGGCATGTTATTGATCTATGGGCACCAGTCTCATCTATATATTCTGGGTGATGGCTGTAGAGAGCCTTGTTTTTGACCACCCAGGAACCATCCCCATTTGTTAACAGTATTTTGCATTTCCTCTGGGAAGCCCCTTCCATCCTCTCAGCCAGAGGTTTGGGAAGAGGATCAATCTCCCACCCTGAGCTCCAGGGGAGGGTTCCATCAGCACATCCTATCCCCTGGTCACGGTGACACAGTACGAGCCAGGCTGTCAGGACTATGAATATGGGGACACGTGAGGTTGCTGCAGCCATCCTGCAGTTCCAAGGGGAGACCCTATTGGTGAATGAGCTGCCCCCAGAGGATAGCAGAGCTGAGCCTAGAGGCAGAGAAACAGTCTTGGTGACATCATTTGAGCCCTGTGACAAGCTGCACCCAAAGCCAGCCAGTGAAACCTGGGACTATAGTCATTCAAGCCAGTTTGGGTTGGGATTGCTGTTACTTGCAGCCGGAAGTGTCCTTAACTGATATGGCTACCCTCAGAGTTGGTGAAGAATATGTAAGTCATTGAAGTCTGTGAAGTGCTTAGCTGTTATAAGCAGATTAGGTGAGAAGGACCCAGCCATTGGCAGGAGCAACCGGTGGGCTCTCAGAGGGTATGACACCTCGCCAAGCAGGCCTTCTCAGCCCTGAACCTCCTGCCAGGTCCTATTCTTCCCGGTGGTGGGGCCATGTGGTCAACTTTCCACCCTGTGTATTCATTTTCCCAGTGAGTCCCCAGCATCTGAGGTCACCCAAGAACATCTCTATTCTCTGCCCCTGTGTTCTGCACATTCTCAGGCATCAGAGTGGATGTGAGTGAAGGTTTATTCAAAGAAAGCAGTGAACTCGAGTAACTCATATTGGTGGGAAGGACTTCCGGGAGTAGGAGTGGAGGGGTGGGTGTGAGGGGATGAGTGTCCAAGGTCAGTTAGGGCCCGGGGAGCGGTGGAGTGGCTGGAAGATGACCTGGCTGATCTGGCCCGGCATGCTGTAGAAGACGAGGAGGAGGAAGATAATGATCAACGCCAGCAGCACCAGGAGCACCAGGATGCGCCAGTACCGGCGCCAGATGAAGAAGACGAAGGTCTTCAGCGGGTTCACAAACCAGTTGAAGGAGGTTTTGGGACGGCTGTTGGGGAACAGGGTAGGTGATCAGGTGATTTCGGAATGATAAGGAAGCCCTAGTCCTCTGGCACCTCCAACTCAAGCTCCAGCCAGCCTCCCACCAACCCACTCACTTGGGCTTCTCCAAGGGCTCAGGCTCCTTCCGCCCCATCCCCACTGGCCGTTTCTCCGCCTCCTCCACCGTCAGCAGCTCAAACTCTGCCTCCACCTTTCCCTAGAAAAAGAAGAAACAGGCTGAGCTCTTAGGTCAGTGATGACACGCGTGTCAGAGGTGACACGCGAACTCATTTTTTTTGGTTGATTTTTCTTTGTTAAATGGCATTTAAATATATAAAATAAATATCAAAAATAAAAGTCTTTGTTTTAATATGGTTGCAAATATAAAAAAATTTCTATATGTGACACAGCACCAGAGTTAAGTTAGGGTTTATCAAAATGCTGACACGCCGAGCTCAAAAGGTTCACCATCACTGTCTTAGGTGGCTCAGACCTGGCTCCCTGCCAGCCCAGTCCTGGGCCCGGCTGCACCCACCCTGAGGATGTAGACGTTGCCTCCGGGGTCTGCAAACTCTAAGTCCTCTGGCCGGCCCTTCCTCCTCCTCCGCCTCTTCCTGCCAGCCTGGGCCTCCCGCTGCTCCCGCTCCTCATCCTCTGGCTCCCGAAGCTTCACCACAGGCCACCAGCCCCGCAAACGGCGGCAGCGGAACAGATTGCACCTGGGCCCAGCCCCATCTCGGGCCAGCCGCACAGAGCAGAGCTCTGGGCCCCGGGCTCCCCGCACCATGTCTGGCAGCTGCAGCTCCAGGGATCCTGCAAGGCCAGAGCTCCCTGGGTTAGGCTGGAGACCAATGTCTATCTGGGCCAGGGGCAGGAGGCAGCACAGCGGGATTGTAAGTCAGGGCATCAGAAGTTAGAATGTGGTGGTCAGGCACAGCTATGGACCACACACCACAGCCCCCAATGAAACAGGGTCAAGGGCAGGACCAAACCCGAGGCCTGAGTCAGGGACTTTGGGAAGGAATGGAGGTGGTGATGCATAGGGCTGAATAAATTCAGTAATTAGGCCAGAGAGCAAAGTTAGTGACCTAGGGCCTGAAGCCCAGGATCCGGGGCGGGTTAGAACAGGGAACCAGGGCCAGGACAGGGCAATGAGGGCAGGAACCAGGGCTAGGTTAAGGTGGAGGAAGGCTTCGCAGTACCGAGGAAGTCATTGGTGGAGATGCGGTCATAGTCCCAGACCTGCAGGACCAGCACTGCCGGCTGCCGGAACTCAGCCTCTTCCAGGGCGAAGGGTCCAGGCCGTCGCCGGACGCTCACCTCCCGCTCCGTGGGCAGGTAGTCAAAGCGGAACACGAAGCGCCAGTTGAAGTTTCCCTCCCCAGTCAGAGAGTTGAAGTGCACGTCTGTCTCCTGCTTGTCCTGCTCCAGCCCCTTCACCCAGCTGGAGCCCGGGGGAGGCGAGGGGCAGTCTGAGGGGCATCAGCTGGGACCAAGCCCAGAACCCAGCTTGCCCCTGCTCACCCACCACCCCAGTCCCTCCACCCAGCTCCAGGCATCTTAGAGGGCTTAGGGGACAGGGCTTGGCTCAGCCCCAGGGCCCACGCCCCAGCTGGCGATCTCACCTCAGTATGCAGGTACTTGTACAGCCCAGCGGGCAGGCCTACCTTTTCACGTAGATGTCACTGGACATCTCTCCAGTGAGTGGGTTCACGTCATCCAGAACCACATCCTCCGTGTTCCAGATGATGACTCTGAGCTCATAACTAGGGGTGTTTTTTTTGGGGGGGGGGAGGGGGGTTCAGATTCGTGAGAGGAATCCTGGGAAGGGCTTCAGGAAGGACCTGGGCCAGAGCTGAGCACCCAGTGTGGGCCGGCTAGGTGACCAGGCTGTCTGTGGTCCCGTGAGGGGCAATATCACTGACCACCCTTGCTACAGCAGGTGACACCCAGCATGGTTTGCTGACCCAAGTGAACCAGCAAGGTTCTCCCTCCCATAAATTTGGAATTAAATCCTGAAAAGTTGAGTCATGTAGCATCAAATGCAGGGTTGGAGCCACAGTGAGCCAAAGTGACATGAAACCTGAAGTTTTGGGGTGCAAAAGAGGGGCACGTGAGCAGAGAAAGCCAGTCTGCAGAGAAGTGGGAGTAGAGCAGAGTGCCAACGACAGCATACAGCCCCCGGGGGACAAAAGGAGGGGCTGCAACATTCTTGTTCCCCCCCCACCAGCCCTGGCCTTGGCTGTCATGGGTTTCCTGGGTATCTTTTCTCTTGCCCAATTCAATTTCCTCATTTGTTGACAGCACCCTGATTTTCTGTTGGTGACCCCCATGCTGTTAATCTGTGTGATTCTGGTAGGGTAGACAGACCCCCGTACCTGGCTCCAGAGGTGGGTACCTCACCTCACCTAGGACATCACCCAGCACTGACCAATCAATTACAGCCCATGACCACATTGAGTGTTCAGAGATCAGCATTTGACCCAAGCTGGCCCAATGAGAATCAGCCCTGAGACTTTTGCTCCAATTGGAAAAGAGGTGTGTATTTTTCTGCTCAAGTAGTCTAGTTGGTCAGATGTAAACCTGGCACCATTAGGAGCCACCTTGCCCTCAGACTGTGAAAGTCTCCCTGAGAGTGGCACCAAGGAAAGCAGAGCCCAAAGGTGGAAAGTGACAGGTTACTGACAACATCTTAAGTGCATACACACCACACAAAACTCTACTCACACTAGCTCAGGGCAGAAGAGGGCTTATTGGAAGTGACGGACACCCAACCCACAATAGCTTATTCAAAAGGGGGGGGGGCCCTGCCAGCGTGGCTCAGTGGTTGAGTGTCGACCTATGAACCAGGAGGTCACAGTTTGATTCCCTGTCAGGGCACATGCTCATGTGGGGCAGCCAATTGATGATTCTCTCTCATCATTGATGTTTCTATCTCTTTCTCCCTCTCTGAAATCAATAAAAATCTATTTTAAAAAAGTGGGGGAGGATTTAATGGCTCACCTAATTGAAAAGCCTGTGTCAACAACCTCTGCCTGCTTCACCGGGGGCTCAGGTTTTTGGAAGGCCCTTTTGAAGGTAGTCCAAGATGTGCCCACCCCCTGAGAAGAGGGGCCAGGACTCTCTCTCACCTGATTGGCTGCCGAGGCTTGATGTCAACTGGGGGTGGTGCAGGCACATTACGGGGGAAGATGTCAATCCACATGTGAAGGGATCCCTGGGGGTACATGTGAAGTGGGACCAAGCTGTAGGATCTTGCTGGGGTCCCTACCTCCCCCAACAACCCTATGGCCACCGGCTGTGCCTTGTCCCAGGTGGAGAGAAGAGCTGGGGTCAAAAGGACATGGTTGAGCCCAGCCGGTGTGGCTCAGTGGATGAGCATGGACCTATGAACCAGGAGGTCACCATTGCATTCTCGGTCAGGGCCCATGCCTATGCCTGAGTTTCGGACTTAATCCCCAATAAGGGGCATGCAGGAGGCAGCTGATTAATGATTCTCTCTCATTATTGATGTTTCTATCTCTCTCCCCCTCTCTGAAATCAATCAATATATTAACATATGTATTAATATTTTTTTTAAAAGAGGGCATGGTTGGTCAGATCCTGGGTAGTGAGGATGAAGGTGGAGTCCGAAATGGAGGTTCCAAGGTTGAGGTTAGGTTAGGGGTTGAGGCCCCAGAAGTGGAAGGTTGAGAGTAAAAGTTGGATCTGGTATTTTCAAGGTCCAGCTCCTAGGGACCTGGTCAGGTTGGGAGTGCCAAGTCCGAGACTTAGTGACCCAAGGGTAGGAATCCTTCAGGACCAGAGTCAGGAGAGGGGGTGTGAGGTCCAGGATGGAGATCCAAGACTAGAGTGGGACCGCTGGGGACCAGGATCGGGAGCTGAAATCAGAAGCGGTAGTGCAGTGCCCAGATGGAGGTCTTAGGAAATGGGCATCCTGGGGGCCCGGTTCCAGGACCAGCTGGGAGTCCTGGGGTTCTGGAGTTGGGTGCTAAGCCCTCCCTCACCTGCAGCAGCCCCGGGCTGCGGGGATGGTAGAGGGGCCGTGTTTCTACGTGCTCAGGTACCAGCTGGATCCCAAGACCTGGCATCTCCTGCCAGCACCGCAGCACAAACAATGCCTGGGCCTCCTCAAGGACCTCACTTGCCACGGTAGGTCCTCGTCTACCTGCAACAAGCGGTGTGTGAGGTTGGGTTCCACACAGCTCCCAACTCTCCTCCCTTCCTCCCCCACCCTTCAATTGAAGCTCTAAGCCGAAGCAGCTGCTGTGGTGGACAAAGTCCTTGGGCTGGAGGGCAAGTCCACGATGCACAGAAAGTGGGAGGATGCTGCTAAGACAACTTTGTCAGTGAAAAGCCAGCAGGCAGGAGGACAGTGGGATAGGAGGGGCTGTGGCCATCACATAGACACTGTTTAGAGACCGACCACCAGTCATTTATGAGGCCTGAGCTCAATTCTACAAGCACATTCTGTTGTAGGGGCCCCCCTATCGACCACCTGTGTTCTGGGAACAGATTAGCTATTCTGGGGTCCACTTTGGCTCTTTGGAGATCTCACACTCACCAATAAAGACCATTTTCTCCCCACATCCAGGAACCTCCTCCTTACTTAGCCAAACTCACCTCCTGTTTGCAGAAGGAGGCAGGCTCTTTGGGGGACACACTAGACTGGGCAACAGGGGTCCCCTATACCTTGTTCTACCATCTTTTTAAAAAATATATATTTTATTGATTTTCCACAGAGAGGAAAGGAGAAGGACAGAGAGCCAGAAACATCGATGAGAGAGAAACATCGATCAGCCGCCTCCTGCACACCCCCCACTGGGGATATGCCCACAACCAAGGTACATGCCCTTGACTGGAATTGAACCTGGGACCCCTCAGTCCGCAGGCCGACGCTCCATCCACTGAGCCAAACCGGTTAGGGCCCTTGTGCTACCATCTTGCTCACTCTGGGCTATCCAGCAGAGAGGGACTGGTACCTGTGGGCAGGGTCTCAGGCGGTGTTGGAAAGACTTTGCTGCCCACCTTGACAGCCCCAGCTCGGTATTCAGGCGCAGGGAGGCCACAGCGTTGGCACAGCCCCGCCAGGATCTGTGAAGGCCGGAATGCATCACGCCAGGCATTGTACCCATCCCTGCAGGCAGAAAAGGGATATGCCTCATTTGGGGACAGCAATGGACACAGTTGGGCACAGGGGCAGGGATGGGACCCTTGAAGACATGGGATCCAGGTCCATATCCCTGATGGAAGACAGCTTAGTCGTTGCTTATGGTAACCATGAAAATAAAAAATGTATGCCAGGTGCTCCTATGAAGGAGATACTAATATTATTACCTCCATTTTGCAGATGAGAAAACTGAGGCTTAGAGAAGAAAAGTGACTCATTAGTTACAGGATCCCAACTCCCAAGCCCAAGCCTTGACCACTAAGCTATAATGTCTTGGTCATGGAGAGGTTTCCTTGCACGAAATCAAAGGATCTGGAGACACTAATGGAAATGTGAAGTTGAATGTCTTTGGTGAGACTAAGAATGGCTCTTGAGGGCCCTGTCAGACTCACACGTCATACTGGGAGGCCAGCCCACAGTTCGCCCTGTGGTGGCTGTAGAATCGGTTTTCTAGGTCAATGTGGGTCTCCCCGATGAGGTCGTCAGAACCCACGAGGTCATGATCAAACACAGCCACAGTCAGCTCCGGCTCAGCAGGGAGAGAGAGGCTGAGCTCCAGGACCCTGGCCAGAGGGGAGAACGGCTGAGGACACCTCCGTGCCCCAGGAAGTTGTCTTATGTGGGTAGGAGTTCCAGGGGTCTCAGAAGCTCTGTCCATTCTCCCACCATCAGCACATAAGCTGCCTGAGCATGAGTCAGACCACTTATGGCAAAGTTACTCCCCAAAACCTAGGGCCCAGCTCACTCTCCAAAGATGGGGTTCAGTTGCTTGGGGATGTAGCGCTTCTTGGTGTCCTGCCGCTCCCGGCCAGCGCTCACCACCACATAGGGGTCTGCTTTGCCATTGGGGTCCGCAGGAGCCAGGTTGGTAGCCTAGGGGGACAGTGTAGAGTGAAACTGAGAGAAGTGTCATTGTCACACCCAAGACTTGCTGAACCTAATCTCAGATTGAGTATGAGCGGGGAGTTACCAAGGAGAGGTCTCCCATCACAAGAAGTTAAGTAGAGGTTGTCTAAGATGACTTTTATTCTCTTTTAAATTTATTGTGAAATACTTAAGACATATAAATAGGTATAACAAAAAATACAATGAATGAAACAGAAAATATATGGGATATGCACTTATGCTTCTATTCAATTTATAACTTTTTATATTGTTAGACTTATTTTTACAATGAGCATGGTATACTTTTAAAATTAAGAATTTTAACTAAATCCTATATAATAAAAGAGTAATATGCAATTGACCCTAACAGCAGAACGACTGGGAATGACTGGTCACTATGACACACACTGACCACCAGGGGGCAGACGCTCAATGCAAGAGATGCCCCCTGGTTGTCAGTGCACTCCCACAGGGGGAACTCTGCTCACCCACAAGCCAGGCTGATGGCTGCCAGCACAGTGGTGGTGGCGGGAGCCTCTCCCGCCTCCTCAGCAGCGCTAAGGATGTCTGACTGCAGCTTAGGCCTGCTCCCCGCTGGCAAGTGGACATCCCCCTGAGGGCTCCCGGGCTGCCAGAGGGATGTCTGTCTGCCAGCTTAGGCCCGATCCCCCAGGGAGCGGGCCTAAGTCAGCTGGTGGACATCCCTCGAGGGGTCCCAGACTGTGAGAGGGCACAGGCCGGGCTGAGAGATCCCCCTGAGTGCACAAATTTTTGTGCACTGGGCCGCTAGTAAAAGTATAATACAGCTGAAACCGGGTTGGCTCAGTGGATAGAGCGTCGGCCTGCGGACTGAAAGGTCCCAGGTTCGATTCCCGTCAAGGGCATGTACCTGGGTTGCGGGCACATCCCCAGTGGGAGATGTGCAGGAGGCGGCTGGTCGATGTTTCTCTCTCATCGATGTTTCTAACTCTCTGTCTCTCTCCCTTCCTCTCTGTAAAAAATCAATAAAATATGTTTTTTTAAAAAAAAGTATAATACAATGAGCATATGTGCCCAGCTTAATTGATAAAACACTGCTGCCCAGCCAGAGTGGCTCAGTGGTTGAGCATCAACCTATGAACCAGGTCACGGTTTGATTCCGGTCAGGGCACATGCCTGGGTTGCGGAATCAATCCACAGTGTGGGGCGTGCAGGAGGCAGCCGATCAATGATTGTCTCTCATCATTGATGTTTCCATCTCTCTCTCCCTCTCCCCCTCTGAAATCAATGAAAATGTATTTTTATAAAAAAGAAAATTACTTTTTCTATTTTGATAGTTATATGACTTAGTAAATGCATAACATGCATAAGTTATTGAAGTATAATTTATGTACAGCATTATATTTTAGTGGTTTTTACACTGCTACCTGCAATGTATGTGAATTCCAGATTCTCCACATTTTTACCAACACTCGGTATTGTCAATCTTTTTTAATTTAGCCTTTGTGTGTATGTGACACTGTAGCTCACTGTGGTTTTAATTTACATTTCCCTGATGACGACGCATGTTGAGCATCTTTGCATGTGCTTATTGGCCTTATGTAGATTTTCTTTTGTGAAGTGACTGTTCACATCTCTTGCTCCACCACTGAGCTTTTCATTTTAAATATTACTATGAACAAGGAGTCAGAGGACCTCAGCTCTAAATTCTGGTGCTGCCATGAGCAAGCTTTGTAACCCTGGGGAGTCTCTTAACTTTGTGCCTAAAATTTCCCACCTGAGAATAAAGAAGGTGGGCTCTGATGCCTAAGGTTCCTCCAAATCCTTCAGTCTATGGGTTTCATGTATGTTGCCTTTGCTGGAGGCGTGCTGGGGTGATGCGTGCTCACCTTTATGACATATACTCTGACCAAGAGCTTGATGGGCCGGTTTTGTGGGATTCCCCGGGAGATTTTGGGCTCAAAAAATGGCATGGCCTCTGATTCAGGATAAATGAGGAAGGAGCCCTGGAGTGGAGGGAGGACAGTCAAGGCCCTGGTAAGAGAGTCTTCCTCCCCCATCCCCACCCGTGCTGCCTGGTCCCCTCTTCGTCCCTTCTCCAAGCACACCTTAAACTTGCCCACAAGGTGCCCAGACCCTTCTTCCTCTCCATCTCCATCCTGACCCCCTTGCCCTCGATACAGGGGAAACACATTCAGCCAGTCTTCAAAGTGGTCAAACTCTTCCTCCAGGGACCTGTTGTAGATCTGAAAGGCATGGGCCTCAGTGACAGCCCGATGTCCAGAATCCAAACAGAATCCCCTCTGCCCTCACCCAGTCACCTTCAGAGTGGCGACTGCTTTTTTCAGGGACACGGAGTCTTTGACTTCAGCCTCACCCTGGTCTTGGGCTTCCCCATCCATGGAAGTGAAGTTGACCCCGTCTGAGAACAGCAGAATGCCCAATTAGAAATACTGGTGCTGGGGGAGGAGGGGAGACAGAGAGCAAGAGCAAGAAGGCTGAATGTCTTACCTGAATCCCCAGGATCATCCACTTCATCTTCATCAAAGTTGGGCTGAAATCAAGGGTCAGGTCAGAGATTCTGCCCCACCCCTCACCTCCTTAATCTACCCTTTTTCTGGGACAGGAAGTTGAGAAACTTCAAGTTCCAGCTGGGTAAGCCCCTTGCAATTTCAAAGCTTCAGTTTATCATCTAGTCCTGTGCTGTCCAAGACAGTAACTCCTGGCTGCTTGTGTCTGTTGAACCCTTGAAATGTGGCTAGTCCAAACTGAGATAGCTGTAAGTATAAAATATACACCAGATTTTAAAGACTTTGTGTAGAATAATGATGTAAAATATCTCATCACTAATTTTTATAATAATTACTTATTAAAATTATTTTTAGATGGATTAGGTTAAATAAAATGTTATTAAAATTAATTTCACTTGCTTCCTTTTATTTTTTTTAAAGGTAGCTCCTACAAAAGTTAAAATTACGTTAGTGGCTAACATGCTATTTTTATTGGATAACACCTCTAGATAATGGAGTTAAATAACCCTCAGTTTTTAGAATTGTTGTGGAGATGAGAACAGATGACTATAATGAAGAGATCTGAGCTCCACTTTCAAAGAGATCCTTCCTCTTGCCATTTACCCTCCTCTACCTCCAGCCCCTACCCTGGGGCCCTCCTCTGCCTCCACCTGCCCCTGGAGCTCCTGCAGCGAAGCGTAGTACTTGGACCACCAGTCGAGCTCTTCAGGATCTGGGATGTCCTCCTCCAGCTCTGGGCCTTGATTCAGAAGGCCACTAAGAGGGAGCTTCTTCAGAGGATCCTGAGGAAGAGAGAATTCAGCAGCCCTAACCCCGTACCACCCCCAGTCCTGCCATCCCCTCCTCTACACATCTCCCATACGCCATCACCTTCAGAAGCCGCCTGGGTATCCTGGCTTCAACCAATAAGGGATCCAGGGACATCTGTCCTGGGAGAGGGGAAATGAGATCAGGAGGTCAGGCGAGGAGCAGTCAGACTCCATGCCCCATCAGAAGGCTCCTGGAGCCATCTCGGCCTGGAACCAAGGGCTTCGGTCTGGTGGTCCCTAAGAGAAAACCTCTTACCTTCCTGTTCCTTGGGCACCAAGACCCCTGTCTCCTCGTCTCCTTCCTCCTCTGGGGGATCCTCATGACCCCGGAGTATGAATCGCATCATGTGGGAAACAATGTGGGAACCCACGAGCACTGTACGGCCAAAGGCCCGGTGTTCAATTACTAGGATGCTGAGGGGAGGCTGCAGGTAAGGCCTCTCTGGCAAGTCCTAGGGGTGGGGAGAGAGGACCTGTGTTTCTGAAGATCTGGGGAGGAGGGAGAGGCAGCGGCAGAGACAGATGGAAAACCATAGATTTAAATCTGCATTCTTAGCACAGCTCTGCCACAACCTCATGGTGTCATCTGGTAAGTCACTTCCTTCTAAGCCTGTTTCCCAGCTAAAAAAGAGACACAATCAATTAAAAAAAAAAAAAAAGAGACACAATCCTGGTTTGAAAGATTTGTAAATATCAAATGATATAATAGACAAAAATACTTTGGAACCTACCAAGTGCTATAAAAAATGTGAGGTGCTTATTATTTTTTTAAGGTTTTCTGCTTTATTTTTAAAATATATTTTTATTGATTTCAGAGAGGAAGGGAGAGGGAGAGAGAGAGAGAAACATCAATGATGAGCGATGATCATTGATCGGCTGCCTCCTGCATGACCCCCACTGGGAATCGAGCCCGCAACCCGAGCATGTGCCCTTGACTAGAATCGAACTGGGATCCTTCAGTCCACAGGCCAATGCTCTATCCACTGAGCCAAACCAGCCAAAACTGTTGTTGTTATTATTATGTAAAGGACCAATGCTCAATTTGTTTATATAAATTTAGAATCCTAAAAATATGTATGCCCATGAATTCCATATCTATCAATAGATCCTAAGTGGGGGGAACAATAATCATAACACTGTATTGCTGGGCTTATTTTACATATATGTGACAATTATAGCATGAAGTAGGGAGGAAGGAATGGAGCTATAATGGAGAAAAGTTTCTATATTCTACTGTAGCTAAATTATATTGTACAAAATCAGAATGCAGCCCTGGCCCATGTGGCTCAATTGGTTGGGCATTGTCCCATGCACCAAAAGGTTGCTGGTTCTATTCCTGGTCAGGGCACATGCCCAGGTTGCAGGCTCAATCCCCATTAGGGGGCATTCAGGAGGCAGCCGATCAATGTTATGCTCTCGCATCAATGTTTCTCTCTCCCTCTCCCTTCCTCTCTCTCTAAAAATCAATTTAAAAATCTTTTTTAAAAAAATTAGTATGTGTATTGTAATCCAGAGCAACAACTAAGTAAAAATCAACAAAGGAATTAAGGTAGTAGACTAATAACTATCTATTTAATACAAAAGAAGGTAGTAAAGGAAGAACAAAAATATGAGACATATAGAAAACCAATTGCAAAATGGCAGATGTAAACCCAACCGTATCAAGTACATAACAGAGAAAGGGATGCACTGTGAAATGGGAAATGAGAGAGCACGGCCCCTGGAAGTTCAATGAGCAAATGCTTTTCAGTTTCACCATCTTATAGAACAATAAAGTTTTCAAACTGAAAACTCCTGCTTGTGGAACAGAATCATGAAGCTGTGCTGGGTTTGTTGTTGTCTGCCGCCTTGTAGTCTGGTACTACTGTGCTTTGTCCTAGTCATCCCCTCACAGAGTCACCCCCACACTTTCAGTTTGCAAAGCCCTTTCACCCAGATCCTGTCTCTCATTGGCTCCTCACAGCACTCCTGAAAAGGAGGCATTTGTTTTATTTTCTTTCACTTTTTTTTTATACCTGTTACTCCCTTTTACAAATAAACAAAACACTTGCCCAGCCAGAGTGTCTCAGTTGGTTGAATCTGTTCCCATGAACTGAAAGGTTGCCAGTTCAATTCCCAGTCAGAACACATACCTGGGTTGTGGGTTTGATCCCTGGTAGAAGAGCTTATAGAAGCCAACCAATCGATGTTTCTCTCTCTCCCCCTTACTCTCTCTAAGCATGTTCTTGGATAAGGATTAAAAAAAAAATTTTTTTTTTGAAGTTCAAGTAAGACAAGTGTTTTGACAAGCTCCTAAGTGGCATTGCAAAATTGGACTCCAAAGCCCATACTATAATAATTACAAATTACACAAAGAATGCATTTTTCTTCTCAGCCGCTGGTATCTCAGAGACTAGAGTCCTTTAGACTCATACTTCATGACACTTGGCTAATCCACTCATTCAACAGAGCCAAGAGAGCACCACCAGTTCATGGATATCCAGGGATCAGCAAACTATAGCCTGTAAGCCAAATCTGGCCCAGTTTTTGTAAATAACATTTTATTGGAACACGGTCATATTCATTCATTTACTTGTTGTCTATGGATATCTGCATGACACAATGACAGAGCTGAGTAATCACAAACTATAAAACTAAATGAGTCACAGAGCCTGAAATATTTATTATCTGATTGACCCTTTATAGAAACTTTGGTGATCCTTGGATTAATCTAAGATAATCAGCCTGGAATTCACCATCCCACTGTCCTCTTTTACTTCTCAGCCCAGTGCCTCTTGCCCCAGCTCATGCCCTCACCACTGTCAGATGCCTGACGAGCTCGGTGAAATTGGGGTTCCCATGGTAACTGGCCAGGACCTCAGACTCCACACGTCGCCCGGCCACCTCCAGCACAACCTGGGGCTGCTCCACCTTGAACAGATGCACACGGCCGAGGTCCCTTAGACCCCAGAACAGCACCTAGGGTCGGGAAGTGGGAGATTCAGGGGCCTGCGCCTGACAGAGGGATACCCAGGTGTGGGGGAAGAACGGGGATGTGAGTGCCTTGTGCTACCTCAACACGGAACTCCCTGAGCACCGGGCGCACATTGGGTGGCAGGGATAGGCGTCCAGAGAGGGGCTCAACCAGGGGTGTCAGGTCCTGTGGCTCCACATCACTGGGCACTGAGGGCTGCAGTGGGCAAGAGGTCAGAAGTCAAAGAGGAATCAGGCCAAAGGAGGGAAATCCTGGACTCAAGAAAGAAAAATGAAGAGTTGCTAGTGAAATATAAATCAAAAGGGTCAAGGCAAGGCTGGATTGTTGAGAGGACGTGTCTAGGAAACAGGCCCATGTATAGGAACAATGGGTGTGTGTCTGAGGCATGAGGATCAACCCGCAGCCTGGGTTCTCTGGGGTGGGAGCCCTGGCAAGATGAACCTAGGGTATGTCTACTTCTAGTGTTCCCTGGAGTCTGGAGGCCTAATGAGGTAACCCCAGGACAGATTTGCAGCCTGCATTCTCTTGGGACAAGAGATTTGGGGTGAGCCTGGAACATGCCCATGTTATATATTCCCTGGGGCTGGACAACCTGATAGAACAACAAGAGGAATCCACAGCTCATGGCAGCTAGGCCAAGGCACTCTGACCTCCAGCCGGCCACTATAGTCCAGTTCAATGAGTTCAAAGGTGGCGATGAGCTCTCCGGCTGCCCGGGGCCCCTTCCTCAGGGGGAAGAACTGCAGCTCAGGGCGTTGGTAAGGGTCCTCCATCAGCTTTACGCTCGGGGCAGCCAGTGCCCTGCCCAGGAACACAGCGGGGCCCTGCAGGGAGCAGGCCAGGGAAGACAAAATTGGAAGAGGCTCAGGAGCCAGGGGAGGGGGCAGCAAGACAAGTGGAGGTGCTTGGGGGCAGAAAGCCAGGTGAGGCCCAGGCCACACTCACAAACTTGTTGTGGTCAAAGACATTGATGATCACTAATGGAGGCTCCTGCTGCAGGTGCTCCCTCCTCCCGTCCACGATCAACTGATCAAACACCAGAAGCTCATCCCACAGGGGGCTCAGCGTCTGCTCCAGGACCTTGGGGGCCACGCAGGGAAGGAGGCAATGGTAGGCCTCAGAAGAAGGCTCCCAACACACATCCCAGGTGAGCACAGCAGCCCTAAAGTAATGCTTTAAGTGACTGTTCATCACTAAAGGAGCGAGAATGTGATGAAGAGGAAAGCACCCTTCAGACTGGTGTTGGAGCCTGCGCCCGGCCCTGGTCTCTGCTGACTGTAATCTGTCACCCTCAGAGCTTGTCTTAAAGTTGAGCCCAGAAAACAACTCCTCACTCCTAAGACAGCCAATGCTTCACCAACCTCTAAATCAGAGCTTCTTGATCCAATATTCTGTCCTGAAACCCCAGGGCAGGAAGAGAGACTTAGGGCCTGGGAGAAAAAGCTCAATGCCCACCTGACTTTGTCTCCCAAAGCCTCCTCCACCCACACCCCCCAGCCCAGCCCTCACCCGTGTGGTCTGGCACTGTGTAGAAATGAGGACTCGAGCAAAGGGGTCCGAGAGCCCACTGTCATCTGCTGCCAGCACACCTCGGGCCTGGTACAGGTGAGCCCGGAGCTGGAAGTAGCTGAAGTCTGGGGTTAGGGGGAAAGAAGGGGCTATGTTTGTTCAAGGGATCACAGGAGTCCATGACCCCGACCCCACTGAACCCCAAGCTGAGCACAGCCCCACACTTTGGGCCTACTGGTCCCCCCGGCACTCACCATCCCGGTGCAGGCTGCGAGGCAGCCCTGCTGAGGGCTCAGGCAGCAGGTCCTGGGGGAGCGCTGAGGTGCAGGCCTTGGCTTGCTTGCCCAGCCCCAGCCACAGGAAGAGCTCCAGCTTGGCACACACCTCACCAGGGGCTGCCCCAGGTGCCTGTTGTGGGGAAGAGGCACCTGTCAGGGCCCAGCTCTTATTATCCCAGCTACACCAACAGCCCCGCTTCCCGGGAGTACCCCTGCTCTCCTTACTGCCAAACTAAAGCCCAGCTCCCTAATCCAAAGAGCATTCCCTGTACCTCACCTTACACCCCACTTCATGCCCTCTACTCAATCAATACCCATTACCCTGATACTCCATATTCCTCCTGGCCCAACACTGTCACTTCCTATACCCCAAACCCCAAAACCACACTCTGAACTCCACACTCCCATCCCCACACTCACTCCCTCTGTCCCCACATCCCAAACACGTTTGGATCCCCTGACCCTTATCCCAACGGTCACAGCTTCTCACCATCGGGATCCCTGTGGGCATCTTTTCCAGGGACACCTCCTTTAGAAATATTTTGCCCCCAAACCAGCTGTACTTACAAGGAGCTAATTAATCACGCTCCCATTTTCATTACCATGTCCGTCTGTCAGAGCCTAGTCAGTACAAGGGCCCCTGCAGGTCCAGAGCTGACAAAATTTGTTTATCTTACATCAAAGCTGGCCTGGGTAAAGGCACAATCTCCTTTTGGCTTTTGAATAAGTGAAAAGAGTTTGGGTACACTTGTAAAAAAGTAAAAATTGTAAAAAATTAAAATAAATTTGCCCCGGTTGCTGTGCTCGGTGGTTAGAGTGTAGGCCTGCACAACGAAAGGTCACGGTTTCAATTCCCAGTGAAGAGCCCGTACCTGAGTTGCAGGTTCAATCCCTAGCCCGGATTGGGGTGCATGTGGGAAGCACATGTATCTGTCTCACACTGATGTTTCTCTTTCTCTCTCTCCCTCTCTCTCTTCCCCTTCCTCCCTCCCTCCCTCCCTCCACTCTCTCTAAAAATGTCCTCAGGTGAGGTTTAACCAGAAAAAAAATTAAAATTGTTTAATTTAAAAATATTTTTAAAATAAAGAAAAGGAGTTTGGGACCCCCCCGCCCCAATTGGGAACCACAGGCCTTTACCTCATGACCTCTTGCCCTATGAGCCTTTCCCCACTCCAGTCTCCAGCACCCTCACCCCCAGGACCCACTCACTGTGAGCAGCAAACTCTGGATCTTCCCACAGTGCTGGCCTCGTTCCTCCTCAACCACAGAGAACAGCACATCCTGGGCTGGGATCCGGGCGTAGGCCACACGGCGCCGCCCACTGAGCATCCAGACCAGCACGTCAGGGATGGGTGGCTGGGGCTGTGGGCAGAGAACTGGGTCATCAAGGTAGATTTGGGGCTGAGACCACGTGTTCCCACAGCTTCCACAGGATAGACAGGCCAAATATCCATTTCCAGGCTGAAATTACCCAACTTTTATATATATATATATATATGAAATTGATTTCAGAGAGGAAGGGAGAGAGAGAGAGAGAGAGGAACATCAATGATGAGACAGAATCATTGATCGGCTGCCTTCGGCACACCCCCTACTGGGGATCAAGTCTGCAACCCAGGCATGTATCCTGACCAAGAATTGAACAGTGACCTCCTGGTTCATAACTCGATGCTCAACCACTGAGCCCTGCTGGCCAGGCTGAAATTACCCATCTTTTAACTCCGTGTACTTTTGTGGCTTGGAGGTAGCAAAGTTTTTTTCCACAGGCAACAGAAAGCGATAAACATAAAAGAAAAATTATAGCCTGGCAGGTGTGGTTCCGTGGTTGTGCGTCCATCCAGGAACCAAGAGGTCGCCAATTCGATTCCCAGTCAGGGCACATGCTCAGGTTATGGGCTCAATCACCAGTAGGAGCATGCAGGAGGCAGCTGATCAATGATTCTCTCTCTCATCATCAATGTTTCTATCTCTCCCTTTCCCTTCCTCTCTGAAATATGAATATATATGTATATATATATTTTTTTTTTAAAGAAGTAGACCCTAGCCCTGGCCTGTTTGGCTCAGTGGATAGAGCGTCGGCCTGAGGACTCAGAGGTCCCAGGTTCTATTCCAATCAAGGGCTCAATCCCCAGTGGGGGGCATGCAGGAGGCAGCTGATCCATGAATCCTTCTAGTCATTGATGTTTCTATCTCTCTCTCTTCCTTTCCCTTTCTCTCTGAAATCAATAAAAATATTAAAAAAAAAAAAAGAAGTAGACCCCATAGGGTAGAAGTAGAACCCAAGTGTTGGAATTATTGGACAGGGACATTAAAAGAATTGTGATACAAATTCTAAAGGATTTAATGGGAAACATACACAGAGTTAAAAGATGGGTAATTTCAGCAAATACATGAAAACTGGAGCCAAACAGGCATCTGGAAAGCTTCAGGGAAGGGTATTCAGGGTGGGGAAACAGGTGGGCAAGGCACTACCTCTTGGGCCAGGAAGCGCAGTTTTGCCAGGAGTTTCTTGGACAATGTCACCTTCTCTTGCACGTTGCCCTGTCTCAGGCCCCGTAGAAGGCGCAGTCCTTGCTTGGCTAACAGGTTCTGGAAGGGTAGGCGAAGCACATGAGCGGAGAGCCGCCGCTGCTGCGTGCCCAAGATCCCCTTCTCAGTGGCCCTACCAGGCTATGCACCAGTAGCTTTCCTCGGCATCTGTCCAGGGCGTTGGGCCGGGTCATTGTCCTGCGCTCGGCACTGTGGCAAAACTGTCTGCAGTGAGTAGGAGCAAGTGTGCAGGTGGGAGTCAAAGGAGGGAACACTGACCCTTACGGCCACCTCCCTCAGAGCAGGCCTCCCACACCA